ATCACAGAAATGTATCCATGACTTATTTGCAGGGTTCCAGTGCTATTAAATGAGATAAAGACATTCACTATTGTGCAAGTAACAACACTTCAGATAACAGATTAAAAAAAAAATCAAGGCTAAGAGGAAGTGAGAAACTTGCACAAGGCAGTATTTTCAATGTTACACAGAATTGTAAACTCACGAATGGATTTGATCTGGGAATTTCTGGCCCAGATTCAGACATGGCAAGATGATGAAACACACTAAGGCTTAATATCTTAATTTTCAAAATGTGAATAATGCATTTCCTTTCTAAGTTGCTGAACCAAGTAAGACACATGAAAGTGAGGTTTAAGTTTAAAATACCTTCACATGGTAATGCCTAATATTTCCCCTGACCTTCTCCATGGTGTTTCTGTGCTTACTTTAAAGTACTATGACATTCTAAATCTCCCATTAGTATTGTCTTTCTACTAGGAAACTAAAATCTATCATTGTTATCAGATTTATATTTCAACTTATTTAAACAATAATACACTGGAGAAAATATAAATGAAGCTATCATTTACTGGCAATTGAGATATTTGGTAGATTTTTCTCATACTGGTCTTTAAATGTAACTATCCCCAAGATATATTTACAGACATCTAGGATCAGAGAAATCAATTGAGGTTGCCTTGGCTAGCCATAGTACCTGTATGGTAATACCAGGACAAGGAAAAAATAATTTTGATTATTAAACCATTCTTAATGAAACAAAAATTTCTGCAAAGAATAGTCTACAAGCCATGCTGTCCTTATACACTTATCTATCTCCTTTTTTAAGACAGGAGAATTGCTCTGCTGCTGAAGGTGGACTCAAACTTTCCCCTTTCACCAGTTATCAGGAACTGTAGACATGCACCATTATGCCTAACCTTGCCTATCATTTCTAACGTTCAATCTTCAGATGCCTCTTTATTCCAGTAAGTCTGAGATTTCTTTGTTTTACATTAACCAGGTCCTGCACTTAAACAACTTCTCTTCCCACAGATGAGCAAAAAAGTCTATTCTATTTTTTCTTCTTGCTACAAAGGGGGATACAAATTTTATTCTAGAAAATTATAGGAAAACTATTCACTTTGCTTTTGAAAACACATACGCACAGCTGTTGGTGAGAAAGCAATCTAAGATATTGACATTTTACTATTTATTATTTGAGTTCTTGGATCCCCAGAGGGGAGTCTTTTTCAATCCATATCAATCCACTCTTCCCAGTGACATAGACTACTTTAGTCTATTTAGATATCAGAACTACTGACCAACAGAGATAAAACCATAAGGAACAGTTTGTTTTTCAGGAAAATGTTGTCAGGTATTATTCAGCTTCATCCAGGTCTATCATGGACAAGAGAGTGCTGCTGATGTATTCCATTAAATGTTGTAAAATGTCAGGAGCAAGCCAGTTGTCAGGCCTGTCTCATTTCTACAAAACACTAAGAATGTCCAGTTTAGCCAACAGCATCAAGTTATTTCTACCAAACAAAATATGGCTAGGGACTAGACTGAAATGCATAGAAGGCTGATATCTAACTCCCCTTACTGAAAATGTAGTGCCTTAGTCACTGTTCTATTGCTGTGAAGAGACACCATGGGCACAACAACTCTTATCAAAGAAAGCAACAAAAATTGTTTGACATCACAGATAATAGTAAAACATAGGTTGGCAAGTAAATATTGGGTTGTTCCTAATTTTAACAAATGGGATATTTAAATTTGTTTTTAACAGTTTATTTGTCATACAACATACTAAATTAGTCAATGAATCGATTTGGTATCTGGATATTTCAAAATATTTCATGAAAATCCTAAGATGGAAAACAGATGAATGAAGCAAAAGTAAAGATTACTTTTGTACCCATCAAGTGAAGAAAGTAAGGCTATGGAGGTTCATTACACTATTCTACTATTATATGAAAATTCTCTCTCTCTCTCTCTCTCTCTCTCTCTCTCTCTCTCTCTCTCGTATGTGTGATGTGATTGTGTGTGTGTGTGTGTGTGTGTGTGTGTGTGTGGTTTGGTGTGTTTCTGCCTGTCTCCATGTACACATTTGGAAGCCAGGGGAGGGTAGTGTGTCCTGTTCTATCCCTTTGCTTTATTCCTTTGAGAAAAGGTCTGGAACTGAACTTTGGAGCTAAACTGGTGGCCAGCAAAACAGAGATCCACCTGACTCTGCTCCTGACCCCCATCGCTAGAATTAAAGATAAGAAGGCAAACACACACAGCTTTTTCTGGAATGTGCTTATCTGTGAGCGCAAGGATCTCTGTGCCTTTCGCAACTCAGGCTCTCTCCAGATTACCACCACACAAAACTTTTAATTTTTTTTACACAGGTTCAAATCTGTGGTTTCTAAAATTGCTACATATTGATACAATTACCAGTATTTAGAGAACAGATAAATCAATTAATGACATTCAATTCAGTTCCCACTGAAGTATAATTCCCTCTGCTTTTGTTTTATCGCTACTTGTTTTAAAAATAAAGCTTTTAAAGTGAGCCAGTTTTGTATCTTTAACTCCCTAGATATTTCTGCACTGTTGGCTCCATTCAATTAAACTATTTATGGGGATGGGTAAAATACAACCATCATATTCTTGTAACTTCATTGATGAAATCATTAGTCCTTAAAGGAGGAATGATATGTGCATAAGAAGTCATAAGAAAAATGAGTTTGTTATTGATAATAACAGCCACCATTCTCTATATGTATGGACAAAAAGGCAGCATTTAACTAAGGCTCCTACTGGCTACTTTGTTACACCTTTTGCATGTTCTCATACCTGGAGCACTAACTCATTTAACTCATTTCAATATTAGTACATCAAGTAAGAATTCAGGAGCTTCTGTCTATTATTTCTAATATTTAATGGATTTCATCTTAGCGGAGTTCTTACTTTTAGACATGCTTATCCTTTTCTTCCTTTGCCCTTCCAGAATTTAACCACCTTTAGGAATTTCCCCACTAACTAGCAGAGCCCTTGCGGGTATCTGCACTTTTTAGGGAATCTCAAACTACAGAATGTCACTTTTTTTCCGTGCAGCTCACAGCAGAACCTGTTCTTCCACATTACACCCTCATGTCTGCACACATGTAGTTGTGAAATCCATACACACACACACACACACACACACACACACACACACACACACGTGCTCAGGAATGGACATTTTAGAGCCCAAAGCTGCTAGGCTTAACTATCTTGTATGAACCTTAAATGTTGCCTTGGCATGACAGCCTCATTAAGTAGGGACCCTTTCCTTCCCATGGAATATGTTATTGCTTGGCTTTGGAATAGACTGATGTTAGGTACCTGAAACTTTTAGCATCCCAGATGTAGTAAAGAACTGGTTCTCTCCCTTACCCTGAACCAGTCACCCTTATCATTGTGGCCCAGGCCCAGCTACCCTCACAACAGCAATATGGATCCGTTGTGAGCTCAAGGGCATCACATGCACCAACGTATCATAGCTCTTATCCACACACCTGGCTCAGAAATTGGGGATGAATCTCCTGATTGTACTCTCATTGGGTCTTTTACTTAATTCCCGTCCACTAATATCCTACATCTCCCTATTTCTAATGACAAAGAAATGGTGATACTATGTCCCAAAGTGTATGTGTTACTCTTACCAGAATATTTGTATATTTTCCAATGTGAAGGGAGAAAACGATAATTGAATTCCAAATCACCGGCATCCTCTTTATTCAGCAACATTGGATACAGCAGCTCTAGGACAACCCTATTTCCCCCCAGACCTTGGTCTCTTTGTGGAGTCCACCCTACCCCCACCTGTCCCCACCCTCCAGAAAACAAGTAGCCTAAGTCCCAGAAATGACTCCTGCTGTGAACTCATTTTACCGAGGAAAAGGCTTTTTCATGTTGGCTTCTCCTAAGAGCCTCATTTTATATCTACTCTCTGCTCAGCTCCTGGTCACCTTGACATTTTCCTACTAAAGCCAATTTCATAGCAAGCAAGCCACTGGCTGAGGCTTTGCTCCTGTGGCCTGGAAGTAACCTCCCATGCTTACAGAGAACTGAAAATCAAGCAGCAGTGTTTCAAATGCTTTATGGGCAGGATCTGATTTAATCCACACCTGTTAGCTTACTGATTTGATGACCATTTCATTTCTGAAACCATGGTAAACAGTAATGACTTATTTAAATCAATTTAAAGTTCAAAGACTGGACTGACTTTCCTAACAGTAAAATGAGGACACTCAGGTAAATATAGAAAACCTTATATTCCCTCTGATACTTCCTGGTTTCCATGCAAACCCCTCTACCAAGTACATTTCAGTGATATAACCAGGTATAATGGGCTCACAAGGTGTGCACTTCATTCTCAGTACCCACCCTGCCCACTCCTTCATTGCCTCTGAATCCTGTGCCCAGAAAGATGCCAACCTTAACAGCCCATGACCCACTTGAGGAGGCATTTAAACGTCTTGCAAATTTTCATAGGCAGGAATCTGCAGCAAATGTACAAATGGAAACTGTAAGGACCTCTGCATGAGGAGGATGAAATGTTAATGTTATATGGACCAAGATGTAAGATCTAGCATTACCTTAAACACCCTACAGTTAACTAAGTTGGTAAATGGATGTCTGAGCTCAGCAGTCACACACAGGTAACCAGGACAATGGCTAGAACTTGCCTGCTGTGTTAGGAAACTTTGCTATGCCCAGGAATATGCCTGCACCGTTGGTTTTATTACTAATAGTGCCCCCTTCATTCTACAAAGTCACCTAATATGAGATGGTATGCCCCACACTCAGCCAGCCCTTTATATGCTACCTTGGAGGCTCCAGACAATATTCCTTCACCAAAGCTTGTAAAACCCCATGGTATGTCTTCTGGAGCCAAGAAATGAAAGTGAGAATCCTGGAATTGAACCAAGTTCCCTGATCTCAATGAAATAATGGAGACACCGAGTGTGGCAAAAGCCAAAGACAGCGCTTAACCATGAAAAGACAACTTTTTTTTCTAGTTTTGCAATGCTTGATATTTATTGAAAAGAATGCCATTGCCTTTTCCAGGTACTAGAGAGGATCTGGGCTGAATGACTGTTGGCTCGTTTTTTATTTTAGTACTACTTGTCCACATGTACACATCTGTGAGGCTGCTGCAATTCTGAAAGAAAAATGACAGCTGTGCAAAACCGATGCATACAAGAAAAGAAATGTCAACATTTCAACTGTCAGACAGGCACATCAGGCTCCTGCAGCAATCTGGTCCGGCAGAGGAGGAACCTGGAAGTAGGTACAGAACAAACCACGCTGTGAGTCTGGCCCCTTCAAAGGAGGGTTGGTGAGCTGTCCAAATGAGAGTCTGAATAGATGTAGCCAACTCCGCCATCATCTTCTTGGTCCGTATCTTCAAAAGTAGATGGCTGCAGGTGAGATGCGGTGGGGGGGTGGTGTGACAGGCATCCACTTTTGAGCAGATGTAGGAAGGTGATCCAGTGGAAACAAGCTGCAGGAATGCAGGTGCTCTGACCAGTTCTAACACAGGCCTGGATAATGGCTGGAGCTCAAAACACAGTACAGATTAGAAGGGTGCCTGTATTGGTTAAAGTTGAACACTGAACTTCAGAACAAGGCCCAGGCCCAGCTCAAGCACTTGCAGCAGGTAACTGGCACAAAGACACGCACTAAAAGGGATGAAGGAGCGAAGTGATTGGCAGGGAAGAGGATGGCAATGCAAAGGAGAGCATGGAGGCAGCAGGAGTAGCGGTGGGGTAGGGGGGGAGGCAGCGTGCAGGGTCCTCCCTGTGTAGGCCTAAGGGGGTTCAGGGCCTAGTAATCACCCACTTCAGTCATCATCATCATCATCATCTTCGTTGTCATACCAGCCAAAACACTGCTTCATCTCATCAACAAACGCCCGATAATCACAGAGAATGGAGCTATCCGTCTGGATGTACGGCATCACCCACTCCTCAGCTTCCCCGGAGAGGAGGCTGATCAGGAATGCCACTTTCATGGCGTCGTTGCAGAAGCGGTCCTCATTCACAAGCATGTAAGACGTCGTCTGCACAATAAACTCGGGGAGCCGGGCGTTCTCGCCGTTAAACGGTGAGGGGAAGGGCACCGGACAGCTGGGCGGACGTACCTGGCGCAGCAGACTGGCCCGCTCACACACCAGCAGCCTCAGCTGTTCCATGAGCCTGCTGTTCTCAATGGTCAGGGCGCGGTGTCGCATCAGAAGCGCGTGCAGAAGAAACACCAGCTCATCCACCATGGTGACTCGCTCGGAAGGTCTTGGGCTCGGATCGGCTCTGCGGAGCTGCTCACAGAGGCCTTGCAGGAAGTGCGTGTCCTCGGAGGAGTGCTGACCCTGGGCGATGCGCAGAGGGGGTCTAGCTGGTGGCGGAAGCTCCACCCACAAGGTCACTTTGGCAGCTGCGCGCCAGCGCAGTGCGGTGAGAAAGGCGTGGCAGAGGGGGATGCTGATGGCGTGGGGGTGTGGCCAGGGTGGGACTGGCCGACAGAGTGGACGTGGCCGAGGAGGAGGAAGGCGTGACCAAGGGAGCATCGCCCCAGGCTCCGCCAATTCCCCTAGCCAGAAGAAGAAAGTCTGGGGAAGCCAAGCCTGCCACAGTGGAGGGCTGTGAGCATAGCTCAGCACTCACGGCTGGCCTGCCCCAGCTGAAACGTCTCTCCAGTAGGCCCGTTCATCCAATACAGTGTTCCTTTGTGGGCCTGTGGCCATCAGCATTTTTTAGAGTAATGCTTTCTTAACACATTTCCTTGCTTGTTTAAATTTCACCCAGAGAAAAGCACTGGCACTGAGGGTCATACTGCAGGAGGGTCATTTGGGTTTAGAGACTCCAAGACTTGCAAGGGGTGCTTTCATTAAATAAATAAATAATAGTCAACAGGGGCTTCTCTCCAGTTGAGACAACAATTTCACTAAAAGATCTGAAAATCTACACAGAGTATCCATTTGCAAACATCCTATCTTTGATTCTTTCCATATTCCTGTTATCAGTGCCTTTGTTCCTGAGTTATAAACTGCCATGAGTTGTGCAAATTAATTCTGGCGGCCTATTTTAAAACGTGATTAGTTGTTGATAACCAAGTTTGGTCCAGGTTCCTTGAGCTGATAGCTATTGGGTCTGCTTTTAAAAATACATCTTCACATTCAATCACTTCCGGTCATCTCTGCTACCTCGATCTCAGCCTTGTCTCACCGTCTGGTCTGCTACATCTAATCCCTTAGCTGCCATTCTTACCTTTTGTAGCATGTACTCTAGAAATGCCTCAGAACACTTTGAAACTGTGAGTTAGATCCTTTCACTCACCTGCCTCCACTTTTCAAATTTAGGTCATTGCCACAAAGGGGCTTGGCTTTGCCAGCAGCTCTGTCCCTAATGCCTGCAAACATGCCTAACCCAGAGGAGGTACTCTAGAGATGTCTGGCAAAGGAAAGGATCTTGAGGCACAGGTGTTGAGATAAATAAAATAAAATAAAAGAGGTGGCTGCACAGTATGTCCAGAAATACCCTTCAATTATCCAGTATGTTCTAGCACTGACCAAAAAACAATCCCCCATGAAAACGACCACTGATGAAATAAAGGCAATGAAACAAGTCCTTGAACGCAGCCTTATTTAGTTAGTCCTTTAAAATAAAGTTCCCTGTCATTCATGGACGGGTGAGACTAGCAAGCAAAGAGATGAAAACCAGGGCCATAGCTCTGTACAGAGAAAAGGAAGGCTCACACTGGTGAAAAAGCAATCAAGGAAAAGGAGTAGGGGCAGGGAATACGAGCCATTGTCTTCTGCGCTATGAGACCTCCCACTAGACAAGAAACTCCTTGAAATACTGGAGATTACAGATTAAGAGGAGATGGAAAGATCTGGGTGAGGAGAGGTTATGGGTGTGATAGTCAAGACTAATGAGACACGAATAAATCTGAAAGAAATCTACTAGTTTGTAAGCTAAATAAATAGTATAATGCATAAAAATGGAATTACAGATAGACAATGTTATTCCCTGAAAGCATGAGTTTTTAAATTAAAATCTCAGTGCTGGTCATGGGATATTTCATTAAGAGTTATTTGTCAGGGAGTCCCCAGAGGCACCCTAAAAAAAAATACAGGCTACTGCCACTGCTCTTGGCTGCCCACCTTAACAAGATGGTAAGAGCCTGTAGCTGAAGATACCACACACCGTGGATGAAGGGCATAGAGAAAACCACCTCAGACTGACCAGGACTCTCTCTTTTTGCTGACTGTGTCTGAAGCAAATTCAAACATTCTGAAGACCGAAACGACCTTTGTCCTGTCCCTGCAACAAGGGGATGAAGTGAAGCAGATAAGACAAACACCAGTCTTCCCTCTGGGGAGGCCTTTGATCTGGAAGGACAGGGAATGGCCTGTTCAAAACACACCCAGAGCTGAGCAGTGACTTTGTGAAGCAGTGTTTCAAGGTTTGCAGGCAGTGAAGACAGGCAGTTGAGGACAGCTCACAGAGGAATTGGTGGAGAAGGAAAAAAATCAGTGTCAGTGGACAGACAGCATATATAGAAGCAAATGGACATTTAAGCAACATTCAGGCGACATGGCTCACATATCAGTGTCAAGACCCATCAAACGTTCTGTCACCATTTACCCTGTTCAACAGTTCAAGATAGACTTCCTCATTCTCTTTCACCCCATCAACAGATCTGTGCATGTTCTTTTGGATCTGTGTGAAAGTTTCAGGGTAGTTCCTATGACTCTCCTCGGGCTCATTAACGTCATGGTGGTTGTTTGGACTACATCATGTGTCAAGAACACAGGCCTAAGGGCAATGAATACATAGCTTATTGCTATATCCATCTTCCATGCTCCAAGTTCTGCCTCAGTATTTACCTAGCAAACAGACTGTAAATTTTCTTGAAATAAACATGAAAAAAAAAATGACTTGGACTCTTGATCACAAAAGAGGCATAAATAGCACATGTAACATTAAGATAAGCCTCTAAGTACAAAAAGTAGCCTTTGGAGTACTTTGTTTTAATTTCCTGTGGGTTTTTTTTTTTTTTGCACAAGCATATGTGTGTACATTACAAGGGCTGTGTGTTGAGGTCAGAGGAAAACTTGAAGAACTGCATTTAAAAGGGATATTTGTAGGCGAAACAAAGATCCTGGATACTCGTCAGAGCCAGACCTAGGTCATGTTTTTAGCTAACCATACCTAATGACTGCTTTATCTGAACTAAATCTGGAAGTTTTAAGGATGGCTGGACAAAAGACAGAATGTCTTTCATTCTCCATAGCTTATCAAAGCCCCTAGAAACAGTTCTGTGTTTTGTTTTTGTTTACTTTTATTTTGTTTTTTAATTAAAAGCACTAAGTAGTACTAAGTCAATAATCTCACAATTGAATCAAATTTTAGTAAGTAATGATATTTTAACAAAAAACCTTCTAAATATTTCATTGCTCCACCAAATACAGTTTAACAGAGTTGCTGAAAATTCAACTCTCTCTCTCTCTCTCTCTTTATCTCTCTCTCTCTTTCTCTCTCTCTCCATGCTTCAATCCCTCCAACCTTTCTTCTTTTACAAGATCATATCCTCATCTTCTTTTAAAATTCTTGGAGTTGTCCCCTCTTTCAGAACTGAGGAAACATAACTCTCTTTACTTAATTTATAGATTTCTAGGAATTAGTTATAAAGATTTATTTGTATACTATATTTATGTTTATACATTCCTCTAGTATAAAATTTGTTGTCTCTAGCATATTGCAGTAGGATTGTTGCTCTTATTTTTTTCTTGTCCAATTATATTAATGTAGTCAGATTCATAACACAAAACATTCTATACTTACTTGGCTCCTAGCACTTTAAAGTATTTTAGGAAATGTGTGACAGTGTTAAACTATTGAAACAGACATTAAGAGAGTAGGTCTTCTATCATTTGAGGTTGTGTTATGTATTAGTAACTGTTCGCTTTAATCCAGGCTCAGTTTTCTTTGGGACAGAATGGTGTGGTGAATTAAAGATATCCAAAATATTTTAACTAGTCAACAAAGAGATAGAAATGATTCATTCTTTCTGCCCTGTGATTTTATCTGACAAGTAAATGTAAGGAAAAAGCTTAAAATTTATGAAACAAGTGTTTTTTTTTTTTTTTTCCTTTTTGTTTTCTTTTTTTCTGTTGTTGGTTTTTTTTTTTTTTTTTTTTTTTTTTTTGGTTTTTCGAGACAGGGTTTTTGTGTAGCTTTGGAGCCTAACCTGGCACTTGCTCTATAGACCAGGCTGGCCTTAAACTCACAGAGATCCGCCTGCCTCTGCCTCCCGAGAGATGGCATTAAAGGTGTGCGCCAACCCCCCCACTGCCTCCCACCCCCTACTACCCCCACACCGGCATGAAACAAATCCTTACGAAGATAGATGTGCTGGGCAAGGAGCCCAGGGAATTCCCATGGAGAAAAAGGCCATGCAGAGGAGCAGCAAGGCAGTAAATAAGCAGGGGACTGGCACTCCTTCTTGAACTTCAGAGTTCAGCAGAGCCATCATGTGAGAGTGGCTGAGTTAGGAACTACTGAAAGCAAAAGAGAGAAACAAAAACTCCACCCAGATGAACCCTCACTGAATTACTAATCTACAGAATCACAAGAAAATAAAACAGCAGTTGCTATTGCCATAAAGGCATGGAATAATTTGCTAAATGAAAATAGGGACCTGAAACGTGCAGAAATTAAAGTTACACATTTAAAAACATAAATCCCATTTCATTTTAATATAACTGACAGGATGTTTAAAAATCTGAATGCTATTTTTTCATATATTCTATATTTATCTGTTTGACATGTTAATTACACAGTCAGGCTAAGAGCCAAATTTCTTAGCTCTCCCTGGTAATACAGAGCTCATATTCTGAAACCATTTCTCTGTTCTTACTCACAAAGCCTGACAATATTTCCCCCATGTTGAAGCAAACCAAATGAAGTAGCAGACAACTAGGGAGACTTCCTATCTGCAAAGCTCATGAAAACTATTTAACTACGAACTGCCATAGTTATGGTTTGTATGGCTGTGATGAAACACCATGACAGACTCTTATAAAGGAAAAACATTAATTGAGGCTGGCTTACAGTTCAAGCAGACAGCATGGCAGCACACAGGCAGGCAGATGTGATTCTGGAGAAGGAGCTGAAAGTTCTACATCTTGATCCACAGGCAGCAGAAGGAGACTACATGCCACACTATGCAAACACTGTGGATAGCCTGAGCATGTGAAACCTCAAAGTCACCCAACCCCACAGTGACACACTTCCTCCAACAAGGCCACGCCTCCTAATAGTGCCACTCTCTATGGGCTAAGCAGTCAAACATATGAGTCTATGGAGGCCATGCCTTTTTAAACCACCACAGATTCCCTTTTGTTATGAAGAGACACTATGACCACTGCCACTCTTGTTTT